AAAATACTATTTTAAACAGTAATATTCGCTATGTAAATGTTTAAAGTGTTAAAGTATAATAACTAAGAATTTTGACTTTGATATTTATCATTTCGTACTTAAAAAATGATCTTATGATATGTAAAGAGTATAAAATAAAGTTAGTAAATTTATAATACAAGCAACGTCAATATTTTACAAAGTAAAATGGTAAATTTTAATCGCAACGCTAAAAATCAAACTGTAATTAATTATTGACTTGCTGGGACTAGTAAAATGTATATTTTAAAAGTATAATTTTTACTGTTTCAAATGTTAAATTCTCCCAGAGTAAAACCCCCTTCTCTTTCATCTGAGTTCCCCTTCTCCTCATAATATGGACTATATATTGAAATGACAATTTTTACTGTTTGAAACTGTAATTTTTTAAGATGAAAGAGTCGTTATTTACTACAGTGACAGCTACTAATCACTTATTTTGGATATTAAATTATAAATTGTGGCTTTTATACTTTCTACATTAAGTTCTGTAATATTTATATTTTTGCCACTCCGATGTCCGCTTTACTGTTTGAAACTATAAAAATTAACAGGAATCCGAGTAAATATTACAGTTTAGTTTTTTCCGTGTAAAGATATACTCGTTAAAAAATTTTTCTTAGTCTCTTAAATATATAAATTAATTTTTGACATATACCCGCATTCACGTGTACAATACAAAATAAATAATTAAACAAATTTTGTTTATCGCAAAATTTGAATCTTTTTATTACTATTTCGAAAACTTATCATAATGAATAAACTATTTTAGAAAAGCATTTGAAAGATTGAAAATGCACTAATTCAGGTCACTAAAAAACTCATTTTATTATATAAATACAAGAGACAAAATTTTTCTTATTCTCTTAATTATATAGATGATAGATTTTTTTAAAGGATGTAAAAGAAGTTACGTAATTTTTGCGGTCGAATAGTCGGACATTTTTTAGCGGTTTGTAATTAATTGCACGTCTCAAAAAGGATGCGCTTTATTTCTACAAAAAAAAATATATCGCGCACAATTATCATAAATAATTGTTTTAATTTTTTTTTTTTTTCAGGTGATTAACGGGCACAAAGTAACGATTAACGAAACTACTTTTTCGGACGGCACAAACAACTCAAACACCTTCGTCAGATTCAAAGTAATCCACGTAAGGCCCGAAAATGAAACTTCTGTGGAAACAGGTAGCGACACCAGCCCAGAAAGTGTCGAAGTTGTTGAGACTGAAGTTGATGAGGAACCGAACCCAACCTCCAAAGATGAAACAACGAACAGAAGCGTCGAAGCCGTCGAGGATTGGAAAAACGACATTCCCGATTCGCCGGTAGACGACCTCAAGGCTTAATTTTTTTCATTATTTACTGTATATTTTTTTATCCATATTTTATATTCCTATGTAATAGTATTAATAAGTTACACTTTTATCAGTAAGATGATTATTATTATTATTATTATTAATCATTAATTGTTATGTTGAAGATTTGATAATAAATACATGTATTCTATTTATTTTTTTTTCCGAACTGTTTAATATTTTTTTGATACCTAATTATAATTCATAATAATATAATAATAAAAAATAAATTTTAGTATAAAGTAATTTACACTTGCTGGTCGCCATTTTGTAAAATACGCAACTTCATTTTGAATTTTTGGGCTTTTAATAAATTATTTTTTTTTTTTAATTTTGTTAAAAATGAGTGTAAAATTTTTTTTTTTCATTTTAACTTTTTAATTCAGATTGAAAAAAAATAATAATTATTTAATAAATTAAAAAAAAAATACAATATTTAAATCTATAAAAAATAAAAAAAAAATATTTACGCTGAGAATTTAACCCGGCTTTTTAATCACATAAAATATTTTCATACCATCTTTATCATTCATTATTACTGTTTCCTTTTTACTTAACTTTATTTCATGCAAAACTTTACGAGTAAACTCAACAAATATTATTATCTCATTTATATTCATACCCAGTTTTTACTATAAAAAAAAAACATCTATACAAGCTATAGCTTCCATTCTGATAAATTTATACACTAATACCAAAATATTAACATCTTAAACATAGCTTCCCAACAAAAAATAATGAAATAGTTACCTTAAATTTTATTTATATATATATATATATATATTTAATTAAAAATTTTAATTATATAAAAAGTTACATATTATAAAAGTATTATTTTTTTTTAATTTTATAATTAATGTTATAAACTTTATTAAAACTTGCTTTTCACCAAGTTAGAGGACTAGTTATAAATATCACGAATAATTTAAATAAAACCGTCCGTATTCATGAACATCATCCATCATTGTATACAAATAATTATCGTCATGAATAAAATGTCAGTGAATAGAATGAACTTCAAGCATTTCTATTTAATTCATGTAAATTAACAACACATATATATCTATTCTCTATTCATACTAAAGCAATCAACTTGAAAATTAAATAACCATTTGCGTTTTAAACTCAACTATAAATTTTTCGAATTAAATTAAAAAAACAATAACAAAATTATATAACAATTTATTAAATATTCTTTATTAAAATTGACATTATAGTGATCGTAGTGTTTTATCAATATGACGAAGCGTTGTGTCTGGGACGGTGTCTTTTAATGCTTTTCTAAATCCTTCGCATCTTGACAGCTGTTTGAACATCATCTTAGCGTGGTTCCTTTAATTTTAAATTCAAATAATTAGTAAGAAATTTATTTTTTTTTTTTGGCAAAATTTATTGAAAGTCAAGTTCTGTGAAAATTACAATAAAATTTAGTTTTATTTCTGGCAAGAATTTATATTTTTAGAAATTTAATTTTTTTATTATAAAAACTGTCATAAAAATTTCGATTTTTAAAAATTTAATGTGAATTTAGTTTTAAAAAATTTTTAAATTCTAAATTGAAAAAAATACAAAGTTTACATTTGAAAAAAGGAAAGGGGGCAAAATGGGTAGCCCCATTAATTTTATAAAAAAAATTTCGACTAAAAATAATAAAAATTACAATTTAAAGTAATTTTTTATAAATTGAGAGAAAAAAAAATTTTTTTTAATAGTAATTTTTGAATAAAAAATTACCGTAATTTTTTAGTCAATATAAAAAAAATACATAGTTTACATTTGAAAAAATGGAAAGAGAGCAAAACGGGTAACCCCATAAATTTTATAAAAAAAAATTTCGACTAAAAATAACAAAAATTACAATTTAAAGTCATTTTTCATAAATTGAGAGAAAAAAAATTGTTTTTTATTTAAAAAAATTTATTTCAACAAAAATTTTTTTTTTAGTAATTTTTTATTCAATATAAAATTATTTAAAAATAAAAATTTTGCATTACTATATCATTTTTTCTATGAAATTTGTAAAAAAAAAGATTATTCTAGCTTACAGTATAAAGAAAAATAATAATAATAATAACAAAATGATTATTATAATTATTAATTAATAAACTTACCTCGCATCTAAGTTAGCATCCATTAAAAGTTTAGCACCGCTACTTAGCAACTTTTCTCTAACATCTCGTGGAAGTGTCATAGCCGCGTCTGGTCCCATACGTTCGACGACAGAAGCTAAAAGTCTACTCGTGGATGCTCTCACGATAGCATTTTGATGACTAAATAAATTTATATTAACACCATTAATTAGTAACTTATTTAATTAATAAATTCGCTAATTAAATTAACCAATTTTACGAATTAATTAGTATTGAAATAGTTACCTAGCGCCGCGATAAATAATAACAGATATTGTACGATGAGGCGGAAGGTGTTCTATCATACGATCAAGAGCCGCGTTGCTATCAGATCGTAAAAATCTGTTGGTGTCTGCTGTTCTGTGCAGTAACGGTCCAGCAATTTCATCAAGATCCTAAGTAATTTATTTATTTTTTATTATCAATCGGGAAAAAAATAAATTATTGACAAATAATAAGGAAATTTACATGATCAAGACACCGCGATCGAGACTCAAAAACGTCACCAGCGGCCATGCAAGCAGTTCGAGCGACCTGGGATCTCAAATTTTTGATATGACGAGCTAGCAATCGACCGACCAGACCTTGGGGACACTTGTCCAATACTTCGCTCTGCTGTCTTGCTATAATCGACAACCCTTTCAGTCCTTTTATCGCGACTTCCCTGTAAAATAATAAAAGAGTTAAAGTTTTAAGTTGAGTTTTTTTTTTTTTTTTTTTTTTTTTTTTTTTGTCAGAAACTCGTTAGTTTAAAACGAGACGAACAGACAGGTAAAGCGGCTGGTTCGAATAAAATAACTGAGTAAATAAATGAAAGCAGGGAGCTTAAGAGAGAAGAGAGGGTGATAAAATAAATTACCAGTCATTGCTTTCAAGCTGGGCAAAGCATTGTGGAATAATTGGCTTTGATTTGTTAAAACTTTTTTCAGTATTAATCGGTAGCGCTGGAGAAACTTTATTGAATCCTGTTTTCATTTTTGTTCTGCTACGCGGTACTTTTGATTGCAATATCTTTGTCGTTGTTTCTATTTCATTATTGTCCATCTGCAAAAGTCAATTCTTTTTCATTTTTAACTATCGATATGACATGATAGTAACAATAATTGTTATTTTTCTTATTTTTTTTTTCGTTTAATGTAACTACAAATATATATTGTAGTTTTTTATTTTAAGCTGGAATTAAAAGAGGAACTCTGAAATATTACAAATGAAAATAATTATGAAAGATTGTAAATTTAAATTATTATTATTAGTGATATTAACAATGATTATTGATATTAAATAATGACTTTTGTTAAATTGCACTGTACTTTCTTAACTATTGACGTTTTTTAAGATATAAGCTCATCCGGGTGTTACACTCATCAAGAGCTTTCATTTGAGTACCCACATGCATTTTCATATATTTTTCATATATTCATATATATATATAAATATATAAAATATATATGAAAAATTGATGTGGGTACTCAAATGAAAGGTCTCGATGAGTATAATGTCGGGATGAGCTTATATTTTAAAAAATGTCAATAGATCACAAGATACAAAGTCGTTTCTTAATTATATTCAATTGCACTGTACTTTCATAACTATTGACGTTTTTAAAGATATAAGCTCATCTCGACGTTACACTCTTTAAGAGCTTCCGTTTGAGTATCCACATGCATTTTGATACATTTTTCATATATTCATATATATGAATATATAAAATATATGAAAAATTGATGTGGGTACTTAAATGAAAGGTCTTGATGAGTGTATTATCGGGATGAGCTTATATCTTTAAAAATGTCAATAATTCACAAGATATCTGTTAAATTGCACTGTACTTTCTTGAATATTGACGTTTTTAAAAATATAAGCTCATCCCGATGTTACACTCATCAAGAGCTTTCATTTGAATATCCACATGCATTTTCATATATTTTTCATATATTCATATATATAAACATATAAAATATATGAAAAATTGATGTGGGTACTCAAATGAAAGGTCTCGTTGAATGTAACATCGGGATGAGTTTATATCTTTAAAAATGTCAATAGTTCATAAGATACAAGGTCATTTCTTATTTATGTATCTAGAAATAGAGCATTTTCGAATACAGTTTAAATACTTATCATCATAAATTGACTATCGGTGAAAATGATATTAAACCTTGAAAAGGTACAAGTTCAAGTCAAAGACCTTTACAATGACACTAAATTTCACTAAAAAATCCGATTTTATCATATGACTATCCTAGACACAAATTTTTTTAATTCTCTTAATAATATAGATTATTGATATTTAAAATTGATTTATTATATATTTATTATTGATATTAAAAATTACTGATCTTGAGCATTAAAACTACGAGGATTATTAATAATTAAAATTAATAATAATAATGATAATGAAAAATTTTCAAAACTTATTATTACTATTTCCAAAAAAAAAATCAAGCAAATAATAGTAATAAATTAACGATACAAATAAAATCAAAAGTTATTATTTTTTATAATTATAACATACATGGATCCGGGCGATTTCTGCTACTGTTCCATTTTCCCTGGAGCTTGTTAACGTTTGATGAATTTTTTCTATTGTTACAACATGAATTTCTGTGTCAGGATTTTCATCCGATGGATCTTTAATCTAAACCAGTGGATAGAAAAATTTTACGTTTAATCAATCAATTGCATCAAAGAATTTTATTAAAAATATTTCTTTTCCTCTCACACTCTCTATTTTATGAAACCATGTTAATAAAGATCATGTTTTATTACAAAGAGAGGAAATATTTTTCAATTTTAATTAAAAAGTACAAATTTAATTTTACAAATTGAATTGTAAGCCCGGGTATGCTATGAAATTACGCTCTCAATTGATTTTTTATGTATTCATTATTTTCCCATTACTACAAACGGTTGAATCGTTAATTTTTCAATGATGCCAAACAATTATTTATAAAACAATATATTCAATTTTAACAAGCTAAATTTCAATTAAATAAATACAATTGCTACTTTAAATTTAATGGTAATTTTTTTTTTTTCAACCTTAGCGGGGTTTCGATGCAGACTTTGGTGTGAAATAAAAAAAATCCAAAAGTTTTTAAAAATTTTTATCAATTTTCCCTCTATTACTTTTACAAACTAAATAATAGACTTTTTAAACTGACATACTTTGACTGTAAAAAAAGAAATTTAATACTTTTCCACTATATTGTTCAATAATAGAGCACTTATATTTGAGATAAAAATAACGAATATCGTGCACCCTTCAGGCGGCAAACTTCTAAAGTTTATCACTGGTTATATGATATTTAAATAGATCCCCAAGCTGCTCATGAGTCAAATGAAATGTAAAAGCCGACATTTGAACACTGATATTAAAACACCTTTGTAAAATAAAATAGTTTACTATGAAACTTTATTTTCCTAAATTTATACCTCGGCTCATAAAACTCAACATTTTTTACTGTTTTTTATTATTCACGGCAAGCAAAATTTTTTATTGAAAAAAACAAAAAAATAAATTATCTTTAATAAACTTACTTTTGGTAAAACTCGTAAAAATTTTTCTATTTAAAATCAAATTTTCATAAAATTCGTTGATAAAATCAATATAAATTTAGAGAGTCAGAAAAGACCTTAAATAAGCAGAAAAAAATTTTTCTATTAGTAACTAACTATTTAAAAAAATCCCAGAGTGGTTTTGTTGATCAGAAATTTTTTATAAAAAATAAATAAATACTAATAACTATTTTTTTATAATTTAATACTTTTTAAAAAGTACTTATTTAAGTTTGTTCATATTCTTATGAAAAAAAAAAGGTTCTTAAAATACTTAAAATATAAGAGCACGAAAAGTTACATAAGTAGAGTAAAAAAACATTCCAAGATCGACAAAGAGCCCGTAAAAAATTTCCTAGAATATATTTTTTTTTTCTATCGCTAAAAAAATGTTCGCTCAATTTCTGACATGGCATTTTGAAAGCTCAGACTCCAAGCTTTAGAATAGTTTCTTTATAAATGTTTCTTTCTTTTTTTTTTTAAACTTTTTTCTTATTTTTATAAAGTTATTCAAGTTTAAAGTAAGAACTCCCCGAGCTTTGATGTCAGAAATGAGACTGAATAATTGTTAAGTGATATTTTAACGACTATAATTCTCAAGCTGTTTAAGTTGTAAAGGATTTCTCATCAGATAATAATTAATTCACGGAAAAAAGTAAACTGTAATAAATAATAGTCTATTTATAATAAGTAATGATCAACTGGAAAAAACTAACATTTCAAATAATAAAATCGTGATTTTATAACAATCGCTTTGTAATATTTATGATTTAAATGCTACAATTTATTATTTACATCGAAAAAAATACTATTTGAAATAGTAATATTCTCCTATATTTGATATTTATCATTTCGTAGCTAAAAAATGATCGCGTGATATGTAAAAAATATAAACTACAGTTACTAAATTTTCTATACAAGCAACGTCAATATTTACAAAGTTAAATGGTAAATTTTAAACGCAACGCTAAAAATCAAACTATAATTATTGATTTGCTTAGACTGGTAAAATATATATTGTAGCCGGTCTCATGTTGTAATTTTAATAAAATTTTATCATAATATGTTTCGTCGAGTAATGTCCGAAAATGGAATTAGCTCAAAAGTTTATATATGTATTTATGTGATATAACGCGCCATGTCAGCAGGATTGCGCCCACAGTTTTCAATCGATCTTTATGAAATTTTGTGGGCTCATTCTGTGGATCCATACCAAGATCAAGTTTGAAGATGAGCAAAATCAGCCGGTTAATTTACGAGTTGTGGGTGTTTTTTTTTTTTTTTTTTTCCAAAAAATTTTGAATTTCGTATATTTTGTGGAAATAATTTTCCAGATGTAAAAGATAGATAAAATCTATCAAATTTATCTTAAACTTCATTTAATTACCTTCAATTTAAACTATCATTTGTCTAGTTTTGGTGATTTTTTTAATTAACTCCGTGATTTTGAAAATTTTCAAAAATTTTTCAATGTTTTTTTTCAAATAATTTTTAAGCCGTAAAAGATAGCTCAAAACTATCAAATTTATATTAAAATTCACCATAATTATCTTCAAATTTGAACTATTGTTCGTCGCCTTTTGATACTTTTTTCAATTTATTTCGTAGTTAAGAAAATTAAAAAAAAATCATTTTTTGTTTTATCGTCACATAACTTTCATATACTACAATTTCTACTTCGTAATTAGTGTTTTTGTCAATATTCTAACAATAAATCTACCTATTTATGTCGGGTGTGGCCGAATTGCGTTTTTTACTGTTTGGAGGTGTAATTTTTTAAGATGAGGGACTCGATTTTAACTATAGTGACAGCTACTAATCCACATTTTCGATATTAAATTATGAATAGTGGCTTTTACACTTTCTACATTAAATTTTGTAACATTTACATGTGTCAACCCGATGTTTACTGTACTGTTTGAAACTATAATGAATTAGCATGAAAAGTTATTGCAAGGAGAACCAAAAAAAGTTGAATTTTTCAAAATTTTTAAAAATTTTGAATCAGCTCGTATTTCTAAAATAACCGACCGATTCAGCTCATCCTCGAACTTCACCTCGGTAATTATCTGCAGAATATGGACGCTAAGTTTAATGAAGATCCGTTAAAAATTGAGAGAGTTACAGTAGAGACAAGGCCGGTTATATCGTATATATATATACATACATACATATATCAACTTTTGAACCATATACATTTTCTGACTTAGATTGACGAGCTGAGTAAAAATATACAAAAATTTTTTGAAAATTCTGACATGAGGATCAATGCAATAGTTAGATTTCTATGAAATCTACAAAAAATTAACCAGAATCCGAGTGAATTTTCCAGTTTAAATTTTTCCGTGTAAAAAAAAGTAAAAACAATAAATTATAAATGAATTTATTAAAAGTAAAATAATTTAGTTACCACAGAAACTATTTTGCTGGTAACAGAAATGTCCTCATCACGGTCATCTGATTTTATTGCAAGAGTATCATCATTCGGGTCATGGATAGCTGAGGCTTCGGTGGCTCCGGAAGCAGAGGTTTCCTCACGGAATTGCCGGATGTCGAGAGGCTGAAAGGTGACGGCGGCGGTGGTTTCATGATACTCAGCCGCTGCTCGAGAATGAGGTCGAGACGCGACGACTATCGAAACTAAATTCTTCACAGTCTCCGGGTTTAAAGAAGATGTTGACGTAGATGCGGTTAAAGAAGACGTTGTGGTTATTCCAGTAATGCTGAAGCTTGTCGTATTGGAAGTACCGATAGATCCCGACATCTCATCAATTTTATCTTCCGATACGTCTTTATCCCCTTCCTCTTCCTCGAAATTACGATTTGCATCTTCGCTCTCATTTTCCTCGACATCATCTTCAATTTGCTCATCTTCTTCTTCTTCTTCTTCTTCGTCTTCATCTTCATTTACGTCCAAATCTTCAGCTCGAGAAAATGATTTTTCACCTTCAGCAAGATGCGCAGGCGAGTGGAAGAATTTATTAGGAGAATTTATGGAAGAACACACTCTCGACTCGATATCAATCTGCAGCTCGGTCGAGTAATCTCGATCGTAAGCCTTTTAATAAAGTTAGTTAATATTGTAAGGAAAAATTTTATTTCAATAAAATAAAATTATTACCAGAGATACATCCGGACTATCGTGTTCGTCAAAGGCAATAGCTTGGATCCCGCTCCTGCGGTTAGGACTTATAACATCCCTTATCGCTTCATCAACTGAGCTGCTCTCATTAGACAGAACTGAAGAGCCTGAAGCTGGATTACGAGTCAAAGGATCATCACTGTCTAGCTCGCGCCCGGAGGCTATGTCATCAGAACTCGTTTCTTTATCCAAGTCTGTTGAATTCGTCGCACTTGACAGTATTGTTACTGGTATCTTACGATCATAAAAATTATTATTATTGTTTGTTTTTTTTTTTTTTTTTGTGAAAAAAAAATTTATTTAATTTGGAAAAATAAAACTTTGGATGAAAATTTATAAATTGTCTAGCTTAGAAAAAATTCATTTTGAAAAAAAAAAAAGTAATTTAATAAAAAGTCGTGATAATTTTATTTATCAGTTGAAGAAATAAAAATTTTTCTCTAATTTTTTTGGTGAAAAAAAAATTTATTTGATTTGGAAAAATAAAAATTTATAAATTGTCTAGCTGAGAAAAAGTTTATTTAAAAAAAAAAAGAGTATTTTAATAAAAAAAATTATTTATCAGCTGAAGAAATAAAAATTTTTCTTTTATTTTTTTTTTGTGAAAAAAAATTCATTTGATTTGAAAAAATAAAAATTTATAAGTTGTCTAGCTAAAATTGTTTTTTTTTTTTTTTTTAAGAAGAAAAATTACGGTGAAAAATTTCTATTTTTTCAGCTTAAAAAAAAAATTTTTCATTTTTTTAAAACTAAATTTTTTTTTCAAAGTTTATTTTAAAGTAAAAAAAAGACTATTGCTGTATTAATATTCTATTAAATTTAATCAGTTTGTTTAATCAATTGCATAAAGCCGATTTGCGTTTATTTATAGAATAAATGAATAATTATTATCATTATTAATTATAATTATAATTATAATAGATTTTATGTTACAAATACGAATATTCTTTGAATTTTATTAAATAAAATTTTATTTTTGTTAAAAAGTTGAAATTGTTGGCCTTTAAATACTTATTAAATAATTAATGATTGTAGTCATAAACAGTAACACAGACTATGAATCAAACAATTATTGCAACAGCATATGTTTACTTGTAAACATAAATAACATTTTTAGTTACTTACTGGGACTACCCACTGAGTTTTCAGTAACCGAGCTCATATTTTAACTTTATTTTTTATTACGCTACAGTTATATGTGTGAATATAACAAATTTTATCATATTTATTAATGTTATTTTTCCGCTTATGCAATACTCATGTAAATAATTTATAATTACATGCTCCAATTAAAATTTTTAGAATTTAATTAAAAAAAAAATTAATGCATCATTTGCAACTACAATAAAAAGTTACTAATTTATAATTAGTGAGTGAAAACAAACTATGTTTCATAAATTAGATATAGATATAAATTATGTTTATTATTATGCCAAGGAAACTTTACTGAATGGCAAAAGGAATATACAGTAATAAGCTACATTATTTTACATAAAAAGTAGAAATAAAATACATGATAATAAAAAAATCAATGCATATAGTTTAGTAAAATCCGCCAAAATGAAATTCTGAGGGCAGATTTTTAAAATTTATTATGAAAATTAAGTTTTAAAGATTTTTTAGACGATTTTAAAAATTTTTAACCTTGACATTTTTGAGTACGCTCTTTTTAAAAAGTCTTAAAAAATTTTTTCGATTATTTTAAGATGAGTTCACAGCGACAGAGCCCCGAAACATTAAAACGGAGCGTCTTAAGAAAGTTTGAAATTTTTGGATAATAATTTTTCAATAATTTCAAACTAAATTTAAAAAGAGCGTACTCAAAAATTTTGCGGTTAAAAACTCGCAAAATCGTCTAAAAAATATCTAAAAATTAATTTTCATAACAAATTTGATAACCAAATTTCAAAAATCAACTCGCGGAAATTTATTTTAGCGTCTTAAAATAAATTTGGTTTGTGTCACGTTTAAAATCTTAAACAAATTACTTTTTTAAAACGATTTTTTTTACACGGAAATTTTTTAGGAATCAATTATTTTGTATTTTTTAATTTAGAATTAAAAAGAGCTTATACAAAAATTTTGCGGTTAAAAACCCGCAAAATCGTCTAAAAATTAATTTTCATAACAAATTTGAGAACTAAATATCAAAAATCTGTTCTCGGAAATTTATTTGAGCGTCTTAAAATAAATTTGGTTTGTCTCACGTTTAAAATAAACAAATGACTTTTTTAAGATGATTTTTTTTTACACGAAAATTTTTTAAGAATCAATTATTTGCTGTTTTTTAATTTAGATTTAACTGAATTACACTTAATAGATTACATAATTTAAATATCTTATTTTTAAATACTTTAATGCTGGCGAAATTTACAATATTATACAATGGTTCATTAAAAATGTAAAAAAAGGGGTAATATTAATTAATTGGTGAAAAATTGATCAGTGTGAATAAAATTAAAAAGAAAATACCTGGTCGATAGAATTTCTTCTAGACGGATTAGATTCTTGTGTAATAATGTCAAAGGACTTGGGAATAATGGAAGCACTCCGAAGAGAATTATCCTCATTGACCTTATGATCTTGAAGCGGCTCGTTGTCTCTATCATTGGACGAGTCACTTGAGACCTCATACGATTCTCGATCGCGACCTTAGTGTCACAAGGAATTGAATTATGTGAGAAATCAAATTACAACAGAAGCGAACGGAGAAATCGAATCAATCTCCTTTACTCGGGCTTTGTCGCGAACCTCCCTCACTTTCTCAACCCCATTTCTACTTTACACCCCCTCGCCTTCTCGGTCCCTCGCTCGCTACTCGCATAACTCGGTTTATTGCGTTTCCACAACCGAGGGCTGTCTCGACCCGGGAATTCGATAACAATATCCACTAGAACGCTTAACTTTTTAGAAATCTTCACTTACTTTATCTTTCCGATCTCGACGTACACCTACGTCATGTCAACGTTTATTCTTTATTTACAGATAAATATAAAAATACAAACTCGGTATTTTCCCTTTTACTTTTTACTTTTTATTTTTTAGCTTTTCAATCGTTAAATATTTAAAGTTACGGATTAAATTTGAATTTAAATTTAAATCCGAGTTCGTCGACACGGTCGTTAGACTTGACCAGCGAATTATCGATTCACACGAACACGTAAACCCGCGATCGTCTCTCGGCTATTTACATGTGCATACAGCAATATTGTCCAGCTAACACAGGAACCAGGGGTTAAGAACCTCGCGTTCCCATTCTATTATACACTATTTACCGATCGTTATTGCGAGGACTCATTTATTTATTTATTTATTTATTTATTTACTTGTTGTAATTATTGTTATTAGTCGGTTCTTTGAATATTTAAGTGTATTTTGTAGAAAAAACCACGGTAATGAGCCTGCTAATAATGAAACGTCATAAAAAAAACAAGACTAATTTCAAGATAAAATTCAAAAGAAAAAATTTTCTAATAAATTTTATTTTAAATATAATCTTGAATTTTATTTTATTTCTATTATTATTATTATTACACTGTAAAAAGAGCGATGTTAAAAATGGACTTATTTTAACACTGCGCGGTGTTAAAAGAAAATAACACCGGCGTAACTTCTCCGGTGTTAAAATACCGGTGTTAAATCGGTGTAAAACGGAGTAATATCAGTATAAAAGAGGAGTAACCATTCTATTTAAAATATCAAGATTATAAAATCTATAAAACATAATAAAATTGAGTTTTTAAATTATAAAAAAAAATAAATAGAAAATATATTAAAATAGTATTCATTACACTGGCCCACAAAAAAAAAAGTGGTCTGTACTTTTAACCAGACTTTACTTTATGTATTTTGACGCGCTAAATCTGAATCTGAAGTCAGTTTTGCCCGTATACCCTCAAAATTATGAGTAAAATGAAAAAAAAAAAGCAAAAAATTGCGAAAAACTGCAGTCACAGCGATGAATAAATTTTTGTAAACCCAGATCAAGTATGATTTTCATGTACGTCAATTCACTGAATCTAAATCTAAACGTTAAGTAGCCCCTTGATCCATCAAAGTTTGAAAAAATTGAAAAAAAGACAAGAAATCATGAAAAATCGAAATTGTCGAGATGAAAAAAATTTTTTGGATTCAGATTGAGTATGATTTTTATGTACTTTGTTCCACTGAATTTGAATCTGAAGTTTTCTTGTCCTATTGACGTTTTAAAATAAAAAAAAAAAATTTCAAAACACCGGCAGCGGTGTTATTTTAACACCGCTTTCGGTGTTGGAATTTAACACCGCAAATTTTAACACCTACACCGCTTTGGACTTACCCCGGTTTTTTTTACAGTGTATTATTATTATTATTATTTTTTTTTTTAATTTTCCAATAAGAAAATTTAAAATTTTCAAAAAAATTGTGGTTATTTATTTTTATTTTTGTTCAAAATTTTTTAATTCTTTTTATCATAAATTTTGTTTCAATTTTTTTTTTTTAATTTTATCTTATTTTTTTCTATCTTTATTTTTACTCTAAATTTTTTTTGCGAATTTTGTTTAATTTTTTTCTATTAATTTTGTCTCATTTTTCGTTTTATTTTTTATCTCCATTAACATTAAAAAAAAATTTTTTTTTTTTAACGCTACAATTCTCTAATAACATTCCAGATATATTACATTTTTTAATATTACATATATTTTATTATTACTAAAAAAGTTTATTTTTTTTTAGCAAAAAAATTTTTTAAAAACAAGTTTTTTAAATGAATTTTACATCGTAAAATTATGACAATATTTTATAAAAATTTATAACTTTTTGCTAAATTACAAAAAAAATAATTTATTGAGATTAACTTAAAATTTTTTTTTCTACGAACAAAATAAAATCATTTAAAAATATTTTAAAAAAATTTTTCATCGTAAATAATTCCGATAATTAAAAATTTAATTATTGTTATAATTAAATTTAAACCCAGATAAATATCAGCAGCTTTAATAATTAAATAAATATTTAATTAATAAAAGTAATATTCCTGATGTTATTAAAATGAAAAGTTCAAATTTAATTATTAACTTAATTAAAAAAAACATATTTTCAATAATAACAGTCATATCCTTTCGATATAATCCCGCCCGTGCTAATAATTAAAATAAAAAAAAAAATTACCCAAATAATGAGAAGAAAGGTCATTCAGATTATTTATCCGCTGCGTATTAATTTGCGTTGAGTTACAAATATTTTTGTGATTAAACTCTTCGTCGGCATTAGCTTTGTCTCTGAAACAAAATAAAGTAAAACGGCAATTTTAATAACAACTATTATTATTATTATAAAGATCGTTAAATTTAATTGGGATTAAAAAAAAGCTTAAAAACGTACAATTCATTGCATTGATTAGGCGTTAGAGAAATAACAGGCGTAGGAACAAGAACCGGAAGCTCGGTGTTAATTGATAATAAATCAGCGTTAGTTTCAATATCAATAGGCCGCCTACGCCGAAATGCGCACGGACAGCAGTGGAAAAGTGATTTTTTAATAATTTCCACATCGTTACATGTTTTTATAACAGGCGAATGTTTGGTATCCTCGTCCTTGGATACACTCGGCCAAACACAATATTTGAATATCATCATTCCAATTTTAACTTTATCCCCCAACGCGTAATACGATTTATTATTTTTATTTTTTGTTTATTTATATTTATTTCCACACTCCAATGCCTATCGATCGGTACGTATTGTCACCCGTCATCGCCACTAAATTTATTACGGTCATTGTCATTCTTCATGAAAAATATCAACGGTTTAATTTTGTTTTCATTTATAAAACGATAATTGCAATTTTATTTTTTTTTTTCCTTTAAAAATATTTTTAAAATTATTCAAGGAGTCGGAAAATATTTTTAAAAAAAATATATTGACGTAAAACAGGGAATATCCTTTGCAAGTAATATTATTACTGGGAAAATATGTATGTACATTTAGAGTAAAAAAGAATTATTTAGTTAGATATATACCGGACAGTAAAACACGCACGACTGGCCGGTGGTAAGCGTCGCGACGCTGACCACCGGCGAGGGTTCACCCCACGTCTCTCCTTCACCTTTCTACTTGCTCGAACACTCTCCCTCTTTTTCTTTGCTCTTTGTTACACCTGTGCGCACTCAAGTGCGGGTAAAGTACAGAAAAACTCTCACACACCCACACTTAAGCTCACTATGTCCAGTTTAACCAACCACCTCTTCAAGTAACTTCTTATTCACCCTCTGGTATTATATATTCTTTGCCGCTTTTCTATGCCAGCTTTTATTGAAGATTATTCGAAAATAAAATTTATTTTGCTAATAATTTACTTTCTACGCTTCTGTTTACTGAAATAAATTATTCTTTTACTCTTAATCAAATATTTAGTTTTTAAATTGTTTTCAATTAAATATTTAATTTGATCAATGTCATTCATCGTCTCCGGGAGTAAATATTTAATATTTTATTTGATCTGATAAATTAATACCGAATGTGAAAATTTATTGATTAATTCAAAATTGGTGGGTTAAAATTTTTTTTTAGACGTAAAAATTTTGTAATTGAGCTTTATAAATTTTATTTATTAATATACTTTTCAGCGGATTGATAAAAAAATATGGGTCATAAAAAATTTTTTCATCGCGTAAGTTTGGTGTTTATAGGGGATAAAATTAACGAATGACTTGATGGAGAAAAATATTTAATGTTACTCTAAAAATATTTTACGGCTATGAAAATTGGATTTTTATTTTAAATCATTAAATTGAACGATTTTATATACGATGATTTTTTTAGTATTTGAACAGGAGTTTTTAATTTTTTATGAGACAAATTTAATGTAAAAATTAACTGAAGGTGTTAAATCCAGACAAATTTTTTATTTAAGAATTGTAAAGTTAAATATTTATTTTGATGTAAAACTAAGATTTATATTTTACAGTCAAAATCAATTATAAATAAATTGAATTTAAAAGAAAATAATTTTTAATAAATAAATAACAATTTTATCAATTCTATTTTATTAATTTTATTAAATTGATAAAAAATAATTTATTAAAATTTTTTTTTTGTAAAAATTATCTAAAAATTATCAACAATTTTTTTTTTTAATTTAGCAGCAGCAAAGAGTCTCCAGGAACACCGACTACGAGGGGCTGGCCTATTTGGGCGAGTACCCCCTGGCTTGGGCTGCCTGTTGCGCTAATGAGAGTGTTTATAATCTTCTCCTGGATTCTGGCGCTAATCCTGATGATCAAGATTCTTTTGGGAATATGATTTTGCACATGGTTGTCGTTTGTGATAAACTTGTGAGTTGGCTTTTTTTTGTGGAAAAAATAGAGTGTAATTGTTACGCGCACACGGAAAAAAGTAAACTGTGATAAATAATAGTCGATTTATAATAATTTTACAGTTTACTTTTTTCCGTGTATGATTATGATAATGATGATGATTATGGTGATCTTGATAGGATATGTTCGGTTACGCTTTACGTCATCCGAAGTTTCCAGCGAGTAATGGAATTGCTAACACAGCGGGATTTACACCTCTGACACTGGCCTGTCAACTGGGAAGAGCTGAAGTATTTCGTGAAATGCTTGAGCTTTCGGCACGTGAATTTTGGCGTTATAGCAATATTACGTGCTCGGCGTATCCACTAAATGCACTGGACACGTTGTTACCTGATGGCAGAACCAGTATGTTATATTTTTTACTATTATCATTATATTTTTTTTAATAAGTAATTTTATTTGTATAAAAATGAAGTAAAATAGAATATCATATAAGTAGTGCATAAAAATTTAAATACGCTTTGCTTTTTAATTAGCATTTTAATGAGAATAATCTTTATTTATCTTACAAAAATATTTTTTAGTATAAAATGAACCTTGGATGCAATTTAAAAAATAATCGTTTTAAAAATATCATTTAAGAGGTAAACTTTTAAATTTAGTCTAGAATAGAATCGTATTATATTGAAAGTTTGAATTAATAAGGAATTGGATGTTATTATATTTATGAATTTTTCGTAATATATTTATAAATTAAAATTTACCAGAGTATTGAAGTATTAAATTACATTTTAATCGTATAATATAAATTAAGTTTAAAATGAATGATTTCAAGATATTCTTAAATCATAATCGGATAGATGGCTAATGAATATTGAATTAATAAATGCAATTAAATTTTATTAAATTTATTATTTACACAGGTACCAATACTCTATTGAACTATTGAAGGATCTTATAACTATTTACGAATATAATACTTGAGATTTACGAATATAATATTTGAGATCTGCTGTAAAATACGAGAAAATTTAGTATTTTATAGAAATAATTTATTTGATTATCAAGTTATAAATATTTTAATACCCCGTAAAGGTTCAGCTAAGTTAAAAATTTAACATCTTAGAAACGACCGTTCTAATTTTAGCTTTTAGGTACAATAATAATTGAATCAATCGATTTTATCAATTTTGCATAATGAAAATTGGGAGACCAGATGACATTTTATCTTGGTGATAACCCACAACTGTAGTTTATTTTTAAACACGAAAAGTCGTTGAAAACAGTAAATAATAAATGACAGACTAATAGCTATTATTGAAATTAAACTAATTGACACATGGATTTAAGAATAAATTGAAATAATTTATGAATGTTGGAGATATAGTAATATAGTAATATTCGCACGTACACTACACACACACATGCGCCGACGCGTCGATCTACTGCGCATGCAGTCACGCCGAAATATTGTATACTCGAGTCAATTATCTATTAGCACGTTGTCGAGTGAAGTCATTGCATTCTTTTCAATCGTTGTAATTAGTTACTAATAAACTTATACGTCGTTCATATTAATTCCTTCTCTATTATTATTTATATTCACTCAATCCCTGCCTAACTCCCACAATGAATTTAGTACAGTAATAAAACTTCAAACTCGATCCTGAAATATCAAACCGCGCGACAGTACAAGCTCTCTTTAATTTTTAATATAGTTCGCATTTAAATAGTTGGCTTAGAAAATGTTTCATTTCTGATTTTAATAACTAATTTCGGTTGAAATATTTTATAAAGTTCAGTGCGATTTTTTTCTTCACATTATATCAATGTGAGTTCGGGAAATTATTTATCAATTTTTTGAATTCGATCAACCGAAAAAATTCCCTGAATTTTTTCCCTGATACTATCTTAAGAGTTTACTTTGGAAATTATTTACAATTGGGGTAAAACCTATTTTTGGCCGTATCTAGGTGAAAAATTAAGAATTGAAAATTATTTTTTCTGCTTGTTTTTACGACGGATTTATGGTGGTGATATGGAAAATATCAAAAAATTAATACTTCGATAGCTTTTTTGCCTTCAAAATTTGGAAAAAATTTTGGCTCTCATGTTTTTGGATAAAATTTCTATTTTATCTTTTTTTGATGTTTTTGATCTATTTTTTTTTGAAAAGTACATAAAAAAACGAACAATTAAAAAAAAAAAAAATCAAATATTACAATTTTTTTGAAAATTTGTTAAAATTGTGGTAATCAACTTTTTTTTTTAATTGTTCATTATTTTATGTATTTAAAAAAAAAAATGTATTAAAATTTTCAAAAAAATGAAAATTAAAATGGTAGACCCCACTTGTAAATAATTATCAAAAATTTCCAAAAGATTTTCTCTAAAAGTTCCACTTTTAAATTGTCGCCTCAACAACCCAAATTTAGTTTTTTCAAGCAAAATAATTTTCAAAATTTAATAAAATTATTTTTTTTACATTAGACAAAATTTCACAAATTTTTGTAATTTTATTAATAATTCTTAATAAATAAATAATTCTGAAAAGGAAAAAATTAATAATCAAAATAAGCCCACACTCGATCGTTACAAGTGGTAAAAACTAGAACCTCTAATTTACCCAATTTTAATTAAATTCATTTTTCTTAAGGCTGCTTCCTAATTTTTCCCTTAAAAAAAAAAAAAATACCCTAAAAAATTAAATAAAATATAAATTAGATAAAATTATATTCCTGATACTTGAGCAAAAAATACTTACAGTTTGTCTGAAATGTTTCACTTACCATCGTTCTATATAAATATATATATATATATCAAAATCATAGGGTTAACAACGTTACGTGCTTGGCGTATCCACTTAGTGCCCGAACACATTGTTACCTGATGGCGGTACAAGTACGTAACTGTTATTACTACCATTATTATTATTGTATAACAATTATAATTACAATAACCACAATAACAATTTATAATTAATACATGAAGTATTTTACCGGACCCGCTGGTAAGTTTACAACTAAAATAAATTGTAAATTACAATAATAATAATATTGAGTTATGTGGATGGTTGTTTGCTATTAAATTGTTTTATAATGAGTGGCGGGCAGATGAGATTTTAAAATCAATTACCTTTGAGGATTAGGTGTAGGTAGCTGCGAGTTGCTTAAGCTTCTGTTCTAACGATGCCTCTAATCAGTGAGTTGATTAAAGCTTAAGGTTGTTAAATTTCATCTCTCTCAAGCCCAGCGATTTAGTAGAGTATACACACGCGGGTACTCTGGGCAGCCTATCTCTCTCGGGAGCTAAGTCTCTGGCTGTTTGTTGTTAATGGTTAAAGCTCCTTGTGTTTTCTTTTATTCCATACTCTACTGTAGCACACACTGTAGCATACACACGTGGGGCCTGGATCGGTGATCGAGAAAAGCCAATTACCTGACTGATACACCAAAGTGAAAGAGTCAAGATCCGGATCTAAATCGGATTAAAGAGATTTACTTATTTTATTTATATTTTTTTCCTCAACGGCTTCTTTTTTTATCGTCGGTAAAAGTCAATCACTACCGCCATTTTCTGTCATTCTCACTGTAATTCTCAACTGGGGACTGGGTAATCAATCAAAGAGTTATTTTACGGTATTCTATAGAATTTGTAAAGTTATAAGCTATGAGGAATAATTTTTTTTTAAATAGCCTCTATAATTTTATTTTTTAATTAATAAAATAAAATTTATAGATTGAAACGTTTATTAAAAAATTTTTTAAATAAATTTTTTATTATTATTATTGTAAATTTACTATGAAATAAAATAAATTTTAAAAAATCCTTTGTAATTTTAACATTACAATTTTTTATTCCATTTACTGTAAAAATGTTCTTTTGAACAATTAAAAAAATTTTTAATTAAAAATTCTGCGTAAGCAAAATAAAATAAGAAAATTTTTTTGCAAATTTAATTTTTCTATCTCCGTTTTTCATAATTGTACTCCGAACTATGAGTAATAAATTATAGATTTAATAAAAATATATTCCACACAGGAAAAAAAAATTTTACTCTAATCATGTTAATAAATTTGAAAAACTTTATTTTCGTGATTTGAATAAAAAAATTTTTAAACTAAGAAATTTTTCATAGTTTAATTTAAGTAAATTTTACTTGATTCAAGTTAATTTTTTCTCTATGTAATATTATAATCATAATCAATAATTAAAGATAACTTGATTCGGAGAATTTTGAATATTTCTTCGTTAAAATCAATTTATAAAATCTCTCAGCAGAGAATTAATAAAGTACATGATTAAATTATCCTTTTCCGAAAACTTACAAGGGAACTAATCAATATGCAGTGCACTAAAATATTCCCCGGCATCCTGAAATATAAATGCACATAAATTTATTCATAATATTCACAAGAAAGTAATGGAGGTTAAATATTAAATCCCGCAGATTGGAACTCGGCTCTGTTTATTATTTTGAACGGTACAAAAGCGGAGCACCTGGACATGCTGGACGGCGGGATAATTCAGCGACTGCTCGAGGAAAAGTGGAAGACATTTGCTCGCGTATGTCAATCACAATTACCATTAATTAATAAAAATTAGCGGTTTTTTCAATTTAAATGAACGAATTAATGAATAAATGGCTGGTTGATGGTAATAGCGTTATATTAAACAGTTACAGTTCCTGAAACGTCTAATTATTCTTGTATTTCATCTAACGTCTCTATCCTTGGCCGTTTATCTGCGTCCGGCAGAGATCGATGCTGACTTGATGGGATGGCCAGAAGAGTGGACGGAAATAGGTCGAACTATTGCCGAATGCATCACCGTCTTAGGTGTCTTGGGTTACATTTTATTCCAACTTGGTGGCGAGGTCGTAAACATTGGCCTTATATCTTTCCTCAAGCAATTGGTAAGGAATTTTTTATCATTATTTTTATATCTTCTTCATTTTTGAGCTTAATCGCGAGCTCATAACTATCAATCGGCTTTATATTTTATTTTCAGTAGCAAAGTCAATATTTAATCGTACAATATTTATGAGCTAATAATAAACTATTAAAAATTTTTAATTTATTGATTTTTCTATCAGCCAGATTAAAAATCTTAAAATATTTTAATAAAAGAATTATTTTGAAATTTTAAAACTGAATAAAAGTTTTCATTCAGTCAATTGCTCCAAAAATGGCTGCATTAATTTTTAAAGGTCAGAAACTCACAGAAAACTCTTTTAAAAATGAATTAAAATAATTTATAAATTTATAACAGTAATAAAACTTTAAACTTGCTCCTAAAATATCAAACCGCGTGACAGTACAAGCTCTCTTTTATTTTTAATGTAGTTCACATTAAAATAGCTAGCTTAGAAAATTATTCATTTCTGATTTTTAATAACCAGTTTCGGCTTACCTAAATAATTTATAAAGTTCAGTACAATTTTTTTCTTCACATTCTATCAATGTGAGTTCGGGAAATTATTTATTTATTTTTTAAATCCGATCAATCGAAAAAATTCCCTGAAGATTTTATCTTAAGAGTCTACTTTTAAATTATCTCATCAATACTCTAAATTTTTTTTTTAGTCAAAATAATTTACAAAATCCAATAAACTTATTTCTTTTACAATAGACTGAGTCTTAAAATTTTTCTATAATTATTTCTAATTTAATCAATAATTCCTCGAGAAAAAATTTCCAAAAGATTTTCTCTGAAAATTCCACTTTTAAATTGTCCCTTCAACAACCCAGATTTAGTTTATTCAGGCAAAATAATTTTTAAAATTTAATTTTTGTAATTTTATTAATAATTCTTAAAAAATAAATTATAAATAAATAATTTTGAAAAGGACATAAAGTTAATAATCAAAATAAGTCCACACTCGATGCTAGAACTTCTTTAATATTTATGCTGCCTCCTAATTTTTCCTTTATAAAAATTAGACTGAGTCTTAAAATTTTCCTATAATTATTTCTAATTTAATTGTCGCTTCAACAAATCAAACCTAGTTTTTTTAGTAAAAATAATTAACAAGACTCAATAAAAAAAAAACTATTTCTTTAACTTACCATTAGATTAAGTTTTACTATTATTTCTATATGAATTTTATGAATTTGATATGTCCAATTCCAGTTAATTAAATTCGCATAAAACGAGAGCGCAGTATAAAATTTAAAAAAACGTTTGAATGAGTGTGCTGACAAAGTTCTTACAAGCTTTCTTTCCGATATCTTGAATACTTGTCTTGCGAATTCTTTCTTACGTGTCACGAAAACAAACTGCGCTCAATCAATCCAACCAGCCGAGCGAATCGCGACGAACGACGTAAGATCAATTGCTTTGAGTCAGTGAGAAGTCAAGAGGTTCCATGAAATGTTTCAAATAAAAATAGTAGACGAGGATTAACGACCCCAGTAGTAACATTGGTTAGACCTTTTTTATCCTCGGCAAGACTAGTTGTTATGTCGATTCCACGATTTATCGCGTTACATCATCAATATTATTGCCCTTTCTAATTTCTCTCTTTTTAATTTACTCCCATTCTTATACACTAACTCATCAATACTTTCCCTCTAATTCCTGCTCACATTCTCATTGATTTTACTCAATTAATGTCGCTGTATTTTTAGTTAAAATTTTTCCAAGAATAAAAACAAAAAAAATTTTTTTTTATTTTTATGATAAATTTTTTTCTACCAAAATTTTACAATATTAACATCATAATAATTATTTAAAAGCAAAATTTTTAAGAACTAAAAATTTTTTTCTGCAAAAAAAAATTTTTTCAAAATTTTTATTTTGAAAATACTTTTATATAAAAATTAAATTAAAGTGCCTAATTATTCTCCTGACACATATAACGTTAAGTACATATAAATATAGCTATCAATCAATTTTTCTACATTATTAAATAAATTTGCTAGTCAAATTAATCCTCCGACTATTTAATATTTATAATTCCATTATCATCGAGATTAATTTCCATAAATAATTTACACTAAATATTGATTTCCAATAATATTAAGTCGAGTTTCACTTATGTATTTCGTCTTATGATTATCTCTAAAAAACATTAATGTGTTTTTAAAAAACATTAAACAAAGCAATGCCGATGAAAATAAAAATCAGCCGTAAAGAGAATGTACACAATGGATTAATGCAAATTGAAATCCTACAAAAAATTCTATCTTTAGATCACAATTATTTTAGATTTTTGAAGCGTACTATTTTAGACATACGCATTTTTAAATTTCGAAAAAAATTTTTTTTATTTTTGAACTTAATACATTTTTGTAAAGCGATTACCAAAAAAAAATGTAAAGTGTATCTTATTGGAAAATAGTAAATAGCTTAATTTAAAACTAAAATTATTGAATCAAAAAATTTTCTCTTCAAATAAGAATTTTGAATTAAATATTTAAAAGCAAGAGTAAAAATTTTGAAGAAAATATTTTTCTTGGATCAAATAATTTATTTTTAATTCTCTGTAAATTTATAAAAGAGAATATCGGAATAAAGTAACGTACCTTCAACTGATGTACCTAAATTTATCCATGACAGGAGTAAATTATAAATACTCAGTTCGACTGCCAGAAAATAAACTGTTTTATTGGGATTATGTCAATGGTTACACGAATAAGAAAATATAAAACTGCAGGTACTTTAGTTATTAACAATGTATTTTTGTCTGCAGAGTCATGAACCAGCAAAATTTATATTCCTTTTAAGCAACATATTGATCCTTGCTTGCATTCCTTGCCGTCTGGCTGCGGATCGTCATCTAGAAGATGCTATTTTGGTGGTTGCTGTTCCGGGCTCGTGGTTCTTGCTGATGTTCTTCGCTGGGTAAGTCGCTAGACGATTAACATATCGATATTTACGTTCTTATTTGTCGTATTCCAATTTAGATAATATTACAACCCATTTATTTTTTTAATAAAATTATAAATGAACCTGATCTAATTAAATTGTCTATTAAAGTGTCAAAGTAAATTTTTATGGTCACGTTTATTCAAACGTCCAATTAAATATTTATGAACAGTGAATAAATTATGTTCAATAAACAATTTGTTAATTGATAATAAATATTCATCAAATAATTTAATATTAAAAATTATTAATTAATAATTAATAAGGCTTATTAAATATTATAAAATTTTACTATTAGTGGATATATGACTATAAATGCTCATATATAATTTTTTTGATAAACAATAGTGTGAAAAATCTCCAACAGGTGGCGCATGGCAGCTAAATCTTCTCCTTATTGGAGAGTTAAGTTTGAGATACTAAATAATAAAATAAAAATTTTTTTTGAGTCTTTTAAATCAACTCTTGTTTAATAATACACGTTAAATTAATTTTCAGTCCTCGTACTAAGCCCGATAAGGCCACACATATTGATCAAATCATTTGAAATTTTGCAGCGGGGATAAATAATAAAATAAACAGAGGATGTTTGATCGCGTCATCGTTTTGTCGCGGTAAAGAGCACAAAATCATTGTGACATTAATCATTTCTCTGGGAATGTGGCCGGATGTAATTCGAGAGGGTTCTCACTACACACTATACCGATCGACGCCACATGGCTCGTTGGCCGGGCGAGTGAATTATTAATCGATGATGCTTTATCATGCTAGTGATAGTTGAGTTGCGTCGAGTTGAGTTGAGATGAGTTGAGTCTAGTTGAGAGAGAATGGAATGGAAGAGAGTGCATCCAGTATTATATTACGCGAATGGGGTGAATGAGTACAAAATTGAGAGTGCTGAGCACAGAGCCAGAGGTAAGTCCTTTATCTCCTCAAGAGTACTTTACTAGTCTGGTTGATGACAACAACCAACCTGATACTCAATACTCAATATTATATACACCCAATACTCTCTGATTTACGTTTTTTGTGCCATCAAGGGATGTATTTTTCGAAATATTATCTGGTAAGTGTCCAGACATAACGTCGCTTATTCGAGGTTTTTTCAATCGGTGGATTATTTGTGGAGTATTCTGCCATTTATCAGATTCAAGTGGTTAAAGTGATCAGAAAAAATTTTATTTTCATTTTCGATGTTTAAACTTACAATAATATTAATTATTGTTAAAGTAAAATTTCAATTTAATTATATAATAGCTTTAATAGCAACTTCAATTGCTTTGTATGAAAACTATTACATATATTATTCAATTTCAGTTTTTGTAATTTAGTTAATTATTAATAATCCTGAGCTGGAAAGTTTATTAATTGGTTATTTTACAGTGATTAACTCTTTGCTAATTATAGTTATCTTTTTCGTCAAACTTTATGAATTTATTATTTTTACCAAAAATTTGTCAATCAAATATAAGTTAATATAGCCCTGCAGGGTAGAAAAATTTAACTAACTTTCAAGTTTTTAAATAATATTTATAGACACAATTGAATTGTTTAAATTTGATCAGTAGCATGGCGAATTGAAGATAACTTAAATTATAATTGTAGTTGTTTGCCACTTATCAGATCAGTGTGTCTCAAATTGCCAAAAAACTTCAAATTTAACGTTTTGCTCTGTAGAATTTTAAAAATACTTGAAATATAATTTTTCGATTGCCGAAAGATGGACGACGGAGCGGAAAGAAACATCTCTATAGTTCATATTATAGTGTATTAACTTTGTGTTTTTTCACCACAAAGCTCAGTATATAGCAGTTTAACGATGACTGAATTGATGAAGACGATCTTGCTGTGTGTTGTACAATTATGGGCGAGCGTACTGAGGACTTATACGCAGTATATCGTTTCCACACGGCTCGCTCTTACAATTAACAGCGGTATGGGGCGGAGCTGACCCTACTGCAGCCACACTGACGAGTCTTGCAGTGTTCCTCGGAATGAAACCGCAGGAATCCATAAATACGGTTCATTTTACACTTTAACACATCTACGAGAAATTCAGGCTTTTAATCGATTAATCGAGTGGTAATTGTACGTTTTATTTGTCACTGAATTCATCTTGGAACGCGTTTGCCTTGATGAAATTCGGAAATGGGCAAAAAATCTGCGCAGAAAATGTGAAAAATCGGCTTAAATTTCTACTTCAATTACTAAATCAAAAGTCTTACATGTCAACAAATACCAGATGTCTTTAGTATTAGATAAATTTACACTCCAATTCAATCTCAGTGAATTAAGTCATGATTACCTTATTTACATATTTTATTTATATATTTCATGACATGATGACACCTAAGATGATTGTGAGATTGTAAGCGTAGAGAGATAGCAGTAAGGGTAGATTTGGGTTGAGTTTAGAGTTGGATGTCGCGTACATGGATCATGGATGCCAAACCAACCGCTGTGACACACACACTCCGTGATCGGCATATCAATAGACCAGCTCATGGCCCACAGCCCCCTCACATATATTACCCACACACACATCTATATACATTATACATTATACATTATATATCAAACAAAACTTTATAGGTGCCTTGCCTAGCTCATGCTTCAGCAACCAACTTTCCCGGATGATAAGAAAATTTTTAAAGTCCTCTAATTCAATTTGAAACTTTCCTCATACTGAGTAGCGCATGTATACCGTGTATAAGGCCAAAAATATCCCATAGTAATAATAAAACATTTTGCAAATTCTTTCCGTAATACTCGCGAGCTTTTTTTATTTTCATCACTTTGCTTTTATTTCCGGTCGCTGATGTAAATATATATCTGGTGTAATTTTGCGGAGAATATAATGAGAGAAATATCGGAAAATATGCCAATAATTAGACGTGACGCAAATGCCGGGATTTTTCATTTTACCGTTAACGACTGAAATTCCTTTGAAAGCTGAAAATATTATTAGAGGAGAGCTAGTTAAGCTTTTTCGATATTTTATGCTTATTATTACGTTAAGTAACGTCATTATAATTACGTGATAGTGATGAGCTTTTAACAATAGATGATGTAGATATTTCGCGGAAATAACCACCGCTAATTGCTGGGCTTTTACGGAATTTAGTTATTTTTTCTCTTTTATCAATTAAAAAAAAAAAATTAAAAAGAGGGGGGGGGCAGCATTTAAAGAGTTATGTATCATAATTATCATATTTTAGTAAACGCTTTACATTTTTAAAAGCTTTAGTCTAAAGATGAAATTGCCTTGTCACGATTCAGCAGTTTCATAATAATATTTTTTTTTTTTTTACACGATCCCATTAACAGAAATTTTGACGAAAAAAATATATATGGGTGATTCTCTGTAAGGATGTTTTTTGCTGTGCCAGGCATTTTTTTTTTTTTTTGGAAAAATTGTTATTTTGTTACTAAAAAAAATTTGTTACGAAAGTAAAGAAACATTTCTATTTGGAGCATTGAAAACTAAAATAAAATAAATTTTGGTTTTTTTTACTACAAATTCGTAAACCACCGAAATAACAGTCCCCTGGGCTGTCCCATTTCCAAAATTAAAACTTTAAGATTAAATTTTAAGTTATTCGTCTATAATATACAATTTGGTCCATAATGTTTATAAACTTAATTAGTTAACTAACAATCTTCTTCAATAAAAAGTACCGAAAATTAATTTGTTTCATTAAATTGATTAAACCAAAGTTTGTCCCAGGCATTTTAAGAACAGTCCCCTGCCAGAAGTTCAAAGCCAAAAAAAAATCCAGCGTGTTATTTTACCTTTTGTAAGGTTTATAAGGATCTAACTAGCCTTGAGTTAATAATCATAGGGCTGTTAGCGCTTTATCACCATTTTATTTAGTGTCTAAGCACCGTTTGTGCTGGAAATATGTGTCTGGGCCACTTCAAAACTCAGTCCCCTGGCAACTATTTTTATTTATAATTTATTTATAAAATTGGATCCATAAGTCTTAATATTATTCTAATTAATGTAAACATTCATTGAGAACTTGAAAAGTTGAATGCATTGAAATAGTTTGCTTGATTTTTTTCAATTTGATAAAAAAAACAGTCCTCTGGCAAACAGTCCCCTGTCATGTTATATGGCAAAAGACACATAAATATCAAAAAAACAAAAATTAAATCGGCTGTTTATTTATTATGATTAAGCTGATAGTTTTGTAGCCCTTGTTAATTTTTTTTCTAATAAAATCAAAAATAATTTGGTCGGACAATTTTGTACAGATTTAAGACGTCCTTACAGAGAACCACCCATATGTTAATTTTGAATGTGAAAAAATTTTTTTCACTGCAATTTTATCAAAAAAATTGAACATTTGGTCACATAAAAGAGCCAAGTATAAAATGTTATTAGAGAGAATGAAAAATTTTTCGAGTGTCCGATTACACCCCACTTTATTTTATTTCAGCTACTTAAAATGCCCGTTAGTTGCATTGAAAGTGTCCCTACTGGAGGGAGCGAGCCTATTCAAGTATAAAATTATCGAACATATGTAGCCTTAGGGTTGCGGTGACCTCAACCCTCAACTTTCGATCAATTAGATTAGCAACGAGTTCCAAAAAATTTTTAAAGAAGCAGCATTATTGTTAACCGATTTTCTGTAGCTACATAGATTAAAATAAATCCTGAATACAAACCGACATCTTCAATTGATAATAATTGCTCGGTAGTTTATTAATAAATAGGGGTTAATTAATTCAGTATAAAACTTTTCAGATAAATATTAAACTCGAGTTTATTTTCAGTCTAACTAATGCTTGTAAATTATCAGTAAGTTTGAGGAACTAAAATTGCAAAGCAGTTATAATTCTATACCGAGGATCCCTTTTTACCACCTACGTCATGAAGTTTCTTAGAGCTTCTATACATAGTATAATTTTGCACTCCTTCGCTTCCGCCGTATCCCACTATACCATCTTCTTGCGTATCTATACTTCAGACTACCCTTTGTTACTTGACATCGCCCCCACTCTCAGTCGTAAGTGCATTAGCCCCGATGACAGTTGACTATCAAACATTGTTACGTCGTATTATTTGTTAACCACTTGTTTTTAACTCGCCCACACTTACTCACACCTTCACTCACTCGGTACTCCGACCCTCCAAATAGATAACGATTATTTATTGAGTGTGTACAACCAGTCGAATATCTACCCTGATAATCGACTGTTTAGCTTATCGTACAGCTTTTAAAGGCATCACTATTTATTTTCACTATTTATCATTATTATTTTGAGATTTTTTCTTCAATCAAGCCAAAATTATTCAATAAATATATCGATTTATGTATGAATATTTTTTTATATTGCTACATTAGGCTATAGATAAGAATAAAAAAATTATTTTTCAAATTTTATTATTAAATCTTGATAATTAAAACGACGTAAAATAAATAAATAACTTCAACACTTTAAAGATCAAAGATTAAAATAAAGATAAAGTAAGTGCAAGTCGCAGAATCATTATGTTGAGTTATAATCTGATTTGGTGATATTAAAATTCTATATTTTAAATTATTTTCTTTATTAATTTCTAAGTTAATTCGATTTTACCTTGTTTATATACAAATTATTAAATTAATTTTTATGCAATACTATATTATGTACTCACAAAAATTGTTTTTTTGTAAAAACTGTAAAAATTACAAAGAAATATTTTCGAATTAAGAAAAATTGTAAAAAAAGCCGATTTTATTATTTTTGAAATTTTTTTTGGGTTTATAAATTTTTACTTCAAAATCTTTTTATAGGGTAAATACCCCAATAGATGGACAGTTAAGCAAACTCTCGTATTCTATTAAAAAAACAATATAGTAATATACAGATAAGTTGTGATAAAGTAAATTATATTTATGAAAAAATATATAATTAACCAGGAAAAAATAAGTAAAACTTCGTAAAACGTTGTAGTAATTAATGAAAAAGAAAAATGTAAGAAAAAGCCCAAACCCCCAGTAGATGGACAAAATCTCCAGTAGATGGACAGTCAATACCAATAGATAGACACTATTTACAAGCGATATTTTCGATTCATTATTTATATCCGACATAATTAATTTATTAATTTTTTCCACTAAAAAATAAAGCTTGATAAAATTAAAGAGAAAAAGGTGATAAATCGGATGGTAATTTTCAAAATACATCATAAAGTAATTTTATTAATTTTGAACACGTGGTGCTTTCTCATGTAAAGTAACATACAAAATATATTAATCTATTAATATAAAGAATACTAATGATTAATAAATTATCAATATAAATTTATAAAACTCAACGTTAAAAACGTTATGTTGTCTTCTTCTTCCTTTTAATAGGTATGTTCTCTTTTGCTTTTTAATTTCCTTCTCTCAATTTTCTCTTTTATTCAGCGTTTTCTTTTTTCTCTTCAATTTCTTCAATAATCATAATAATACTTTCATTTTCAGTACATGTCTGTTTATTATAATCTTTACTCTTATTCTCACATTGATCCACCAATAAAATTAAAAAAAAAAATAAGAAAATTCATCATATAAACTCAATGTCCATCTATTGGATAAAGGTTAGAAAAGTGTCACCCATAGATGGACACTAAATTCTATTATTTCTTTTCGATTTTATCATTAAAATATTATATTTCTAGCTTTGTTAGTGAAATATAAGCGTAATTATATGTACAAATCTTACTTTTTTTTATTATTTTTAATAATAATAACAAATAATGTCCACCAGCTATCTGTCACACGCTTACTAGTTGCGGCGCTCTCGGAGCAAAACCTCGAGATGTCCAATTTAAATAATTTTTTAAAACTATTATTACAAATAAAAAGTTAAAAAAAATTACTTTTCGCTCTCAGAACTACTTGTGAGACACAAAAAAATATAACGACTTAAGATTTTTGTTCTTAAAACTAATGAAATTGCTTCTAGAAATAAAATCTGTCCATCTATGGGGGGGATGTCCATCTATTGGGGTATTTACCCTACTTGATTCAAAAATAAAATTTCTTATTTAAATTTAATTTATATAATTTTCACACAAACGAGCATATTTTTTTAGGATAAATAAAAATTCAGCCACCAGGTGGCGCGTCAGCAAACACCTATACTACTAATTAATTTTGAAACTTAACTCTCTTGTAAGGAGAAGATTCAATTGTCATGCACCCTCTGTCGGAGATTTTTACTACTAACTTTATTTTAAGCCATACGCTGGGAGAAAAAATTTCTTTAAAAAAAAAATTTTAAATAGACAACTTGCGAATTTTCTTAAAAACTTTTTTTTACAAGAAAATTAACGATAGAAAAATTTTAATTCTTCAGCTAAATATTATTCAATATTATAAACAAATTAATTTTCTATTACATTGCTAATTTCTTTCAAAATAAATTTTTTCTCAGTGTATATTAAGGCCAAAAAAATTTTTAATGAACATTGATTGATCTTTGAATGCTGAAAATTTTCCAGTCAACGTTTTTATACAAAATGTAATAAAATACAAGTAAGTAATCGTTATAAATATCAAAAGATAATAAAAAAACAAAGTGTAAATACAATAAAACAATAGCCAATGGATATCAATTAAATTACTAGAGATAAAATCTTACTGCATAGAGAGTAGCCGCAAGTTATTAATCAATTCGGTGAGCATTTGGACGGTTAACATAAATCGCAACGGCACTGTTTGCCCGGATATATACTCTTGATCTCGTCGGATCCGCATAAATGTATATGGATATGCATATACTGGAGGATAAACGGATCTCCTCATAGAAGAGAAACAGCAACAGTACATCCGTAGTCAGAAGTACAGAGAGTAGAGAATGTGCAGTAGATTCAGTGTAGAGCGTGGCAGTGTTGGCTGCGCTGCATAGCAGAATGTATAATATTTCGATGGCCCCATACCCCGTCGAGTTTGGATCGTTATACGATATACCTCCAGCAGCCGAGATTAGGAAACGGTGTGTATGCCGTTGTGATTGTCCATTGATCCGCGACAAACAGAGTAGTATAGAGTAGAGAGTACGGAGTGCAGGTTACGACTACAGAGCAGAGACCAGAGACCAGAGAGCAGAGAGAGAGAGAGAGAAGGGATAAACTCGATAACGATTGCACATTGCGATAATGATAATAACGAGGACAGGTCGTTACGATCATCATTAATGACTCTAAGGGGCTAATCTACGAACCTTTATCTATTTTACAGGGCCGTACGGCTAACTGGACCGTTCGTCACGATGGTCTACAGCATGATAACAGGCGACATGCTGACCTTTGGAATAATATACATGGTTGTGCTATTTGGATTTTCTCAATCATTTCATTTTCTCTATAAAGGATTTCCGAGGGTCAGTTCCTCGCTTTTTCAATCTTATCACTCTACTTGGATGGCCTTGTTTCAAATTACACTCGGTGATTACAGTGTAAGATTATTTTTCCTTCATTTTTTATAATTATGATGTTTAAAAATAAATACTTACGGTTTTAGATTATTTATAACAGTATTTATTAATTATTGTTCGTCGTGTGTAGTAGATGAAGTAAAAAGGGATGTAAGGTAAAGTACCCAGTAGTTGAATAGGTTTCAAAGTAAAACTTATTTGACCCTACGTTTAATATATAAAGATGTAATTATTAGTTCAAATTAGTGATTTTCATGAAAATATACAAGGAAAAAAGTAAACTGTAATATTCACTCGGATTCCGGTTAATTTTTATAGTTTCAAACAGTAAAGCGGACATCGGGGTGTCAAAAATGTAAATATTACAGAACTTAATGTAGAAAGTATAAAAGCCACTATTTATAATTTAATATCCAAAATAAGTCATTAGTAGTTGTCACTATAGTAAATAACGACTCTTTCATCTTAAAAAATTACAGTTTCAAACAGTAAAAATTACCATTTCAATATATAGTCCATATTATGAAGAGAAGGGGAACTCAGATGAAAGAGAAGAGGGTCTC